CATGGACATTATCCTATCACTTATAACATTGTACCTCATGACTGATCTGCATATGTTCTTGAATGCACTGGGAGAGGACAATCCATTTGAAAACCAAACAAGAAGATAATGAGTAAGTAAGTGAACTGTCAGGGTTATAAGCAGCTAACATCCCATATTTCAAAATAATAAATACAAAAATTATTTTTAGCTAACATAATAGCTGGAATGGTATCTAATAAGGCTATTATTAAATGTATTTCATAGTTATCAAAAAGCATGCAAGATATCTGTACGAGGGTATCTTTCATAACCACTTGAAGAAAATTCAAAACTACAGGATAATGAATCATCCCTACCCGTGTTTAAAAAAAAAAACAAACAAACAAAAGAGATTTCTGAACACAATTAAATACAAAATGTACCAAGATGAAAAAAAAAAAAATCTACAATTTACTAATTAAAAATGGCCTTCATTTATAAAGCTGCAAATCTGTTTTAACTGTCACAAAGGGTCATGGAAAAGCAGGATGGTGGTAGTAAGTCCTTGAGTCAGTTCGACCCTGTACAGGGTTTCTGAGACTGTAAATCTTTATGGGAGCAAAAAGCCTCATCTTTCTCCTACAGAGCAGATGGTAGTTTCAAACTGCTGACCTTGAGGTTAGCAGCCTGACTAGTAACCACTAAGATACCAGAACTCCTTGGAAAAGCAGGAGGAGGGTATAAATCTGAAAACGCCTTTCTAAAACACAGGCCATCTAGAGTCTTAATTTGTATTAATTTCCTAAACCGAAAGGGTTAAAACAAGAAGGGTGCCCTTAGGATTCCAGGAAAATTGCTCCGAATCCAAAGAAAGCCAAAATTGCTTTCAACTTCTAACGGAGGAGGAGATTTCCTGGGAAAACAGTAAGATAGAAGTCAAAAGAAATGTCCTTTGGCTTATCACTGTTGACCATCCTCAAGGAAAAAGATTTCTGAGTAGGCCTCAGGGGTAAGGAGGCCATTTCGTTCTTGCCCAGTCCCTAGTACATTTACTCCAAGTCCTCAGTGGAGTCATCTCTGGGGAACTAGAAACAGCTATATGGATGACAGGTGGTTAAGCAGACTCTTGCCACCTTGAAGAAGCCAGTACAGGGAGCAGCTCCAGTAGATGGGGGCTAGTGGGAAGGCTTTGGGAGCAGCAGGCTAAGTAACAACTACACGCACAAAAGCAGCAAAAACAAACCCTGAAACCTTAGTTCAACTCATAGCGACCTTGTATACAGTTTCCAAGAGAGGCTGGTGGCTTTGAAGTACCTCAAAGTTTCCAAGGTACAAAGCAGATGTGTGAACAGAAAAAGTAGCAATCAATTCTGGTTATGCAACTAATGGCTATAATGGCAAAAGAGGGCATGGCTGTAACAGCTTCTATGGAGGATTTTGAGCTTTTCAATATCCTGGGGAACTGGCACCAAAGTAACTAGGAATTCTACAATAATAGTCAGAGCATCAAAAACTACTGCACAAATCATTCATACCCATGACCCAAACATGCTTAAGGCTGGTGTGGCCTTTTAAAACACAGTTGCAACACATGCTTGCCCAGGAAACATCAAGGCAAATGGTCGGGTCCCCTCAGGGCAAACCCCCTTCCAAGACTAAGACTCAGTGGGAATACACGCTGTGATTGGTGACCACACTTGACACTGATAAGGGTAAGTGAGGAAAAAACAGCAATGAAGCGGTGAGCTAAGCCCTACAACGTTCAATGGACTTCTGTGAACCCAGGTGAAGACCTGGTTGGCCAACAGTGTGGCAAGACCTGGGGACTCTTGGGCCCAGAGTCAGTGACA